TTTTGTTTCCAGACACGGGTTTTTGAATACAGCGGCTGACCACAGGCAAAACTAAGTTTTGCTACTCGACGTCTGCACAGGGCTATTTCCACAGCTGTACTTACAGTTCTTCGTTGCTGTGCTGTGACAAAGCACGCCAATGGCGGACAAAAACACCATGAGCCTCGCCATTCTGCACAACACCTCTCGTTGCAGGACGCTGAATGATCCGTGTTCTCTGCACCGCGTAGCTGCACTGACAATGTTTCCATCGTCAGCTTTATTTAAATGCACTCACTCTGCGTCCCCGGCGTGCGGATGGCATCACGCAAGGTCATTTCCGGACGAATTGGAAGTGTTTGCAGGGCTACACGGCGGCTTCCGGTACCTCCGACAGCGACAAATGCTGGCCGCTTTTAGCACGGGTCATGTCAGTCATGTATAACTCTTCAACGTAGACGACATGCACAAGACAAACGCTTCTCTTTTCCCTGCACTTGATCGAGTTTGTCCACGGATTCGCATATGCTAGGGCGCTCTTGAGACGCACAAGCACTTTAAAGGCATTCAGACACCATTTAAAGGTGACCAAAAGTTTATGGGTCATGTAACATCAACCAAGGTACATTTTCAAAAATTCCGAATTCCGCACTTCAATATTCGAAAAGATCAGAATTAAAATGTTCAGAATTATACAAGCCTTCTTGATGATGAGATCGAACCTAATTATAGGTGGCAAACAAAACACTAAGCTCTCTTAGCTGTATTGCCCAACCTTGCTGTATTGCTGTCTTTGCCTTCGCATCAAGAAGATGTACAAGACAACCATTCTGCGCTTTGAATTTCAACCCGGTTGATGAATGTTACGGCGTCAAATTAGATTCACATATCTCAAAAGACGCCACTGATCGTGACGTTGTCTTAAAGCTATGATTAGGAGAATTTGCTGTCATTCATCATTTAAATCATTTTTCAAGGATCGCTGTTAGTTTTACTTGCTACAGCGCTTCAGCGGGGTACATGCTCTATGAACTTTCCCCGCCTCCAAAGATAGAAAAGTTCTGATGACATCTACTCACGGCTCCTTGTCGAAAATTTGTGCGAGAGGCTCGATGATATTCTTCAGCTTCTGATTTGCCTCCGATTTATTTCTTACCCGTTATCCTTAGCATGTCATGCGGAAAGAGGTACGTGGGGCTTACGCCAGAGGGGTGAAAATTTTACTCTTGCTTAGTTTCTTATGTTTTGATACGATTTCCAAAATGAGTTAGAACACTACCCCCTGACAAAAACAAACTTAAATTATCCATATCGCACGCAGCTATATCAAAATATTTTGACCACAATGTTGAGACGATATTTATCTCTATATAAAGCCACGTGCACATACATATGCTCTTTTTAAAAGATGTGGAAACTTTGCCAGTGCTGCGGGAGCTACGCCAAGAAAATGTGCATTTTCTGTCGTAATGACAAGCTGTTTTCAGGCACATCTAACATTTTATCCTGTAATGTTATTTGTCATTTGGCTGAGTATAGCGAAAATGAAGGAAATAGCTGCGTTTGACTATTGTTTCTAACCCCTTCAAAATGTATGCGTGCGTCACTGAAGCTGTGTCATTTTATCTGCTCGCATCTTGTGAAAGTATTGTTTGTGGCACAGTTGTGCTTTGTGTCCTGCGCCTCTGCTGGGGCGGGGGTGTGGCGAGTGCGCGCCGCAGCCGCGTGGTGGTGTCGGGTTCGGGGGCGGCCCCGGCTCGTGGCCCCCGACGGTCGGCAGTTACCGTGCGGAGAGCAGGGGGGGGGGGGGGAGAAGCACCGTGAGGAGCTGCTGTGGAGCGTGAGGAGCTGCTAAAATACAGAAAAGCTTTGGGTGACATACTGGGCGTCTCTTTACAAGTATTTAATGCTTCACATTTTGCATCTGCGTGCGATACGGGAACATAAATGCGACTGCAAGCGTGGTGAGGTTTCTCAGCGGAAACAAATCTTACAAATTATAAAAAAATTAGATTGACCGATAGAGATCAATGCACGCAACGAAAACTGGTTGGAAGGACCGAACATTTTGAAAACCGATAAACACATGCTCTGTGGTCAAATCTACGCCGCAAAATATTTTTAAAACAACTTCCGAACGGTGAGACACAGTCGCAACAAACATTGCACGCATATAAACAATGGAATAGCATAGCCGCTCATACAAAATTGAATGTACCTTGCAGGTTGCCTACCTACGGCAGTTTTAAGTCAGGCCCTGGTTGTCAACAAAGACAGTTTCATGAAGTGTTCAACATGCTGCAAAAACGTAGTGTTACACGAAGTCATACCGTTTTGGATGATTTTTTAGACAACTGCACTTTTGAAAGTAGGATCTGCTATAGTTGCATTGATCTTGAGTCATGTTTTTAGGTCAGATCAGAGCAATTCGGACTCGCTTTATTGCTGAAAACCCTGCTTTATGATGTGGTTTTTGTGCTTATTTTGAATTATTGGATCACTGCAATGTCAACAGATGCCTTACTGCAGCTTGATCAATGTCGGGTCACTGACCCCAACTGCCGTTGATCAATATGTAATTTGCTTTTGGGGGCATGCCGTCTAGAACATCACTTGGTACTGATTGCAATGTTAGAATAATGACCCTGAAGGTTTTTCGCCATCGTTACCTACTCAAGATCAAATATGGACAATAACCTGATGTGAGCACCACTGGCAGTTTGCTTATAAGTGGTATGTACATTAAGGCTCCTTGCACCAGGAGCTCTGAAGGTACTTGCGGACGAACCGTATGTAATTGACATTGTTCAACCCGGATTTGGACGTGAAGACCCACGAACCAAAAATCTCAACCTGATGCAAGAGATTTCACGTAGAGTGTTAGGCTACCTCCTAAATTTTGGATCGTGGGCGCTTTAAATTGTTGAGATGGGAGGGACCCACCCGGAACCAGAACGGAGCATTTTGACCGGGACCCGAACACATGCTTTATTACTATGCAAACTGGCATGTTTAATGTCGAAACATATGGACGTGAAGCTGGCGCAGCCAATAACGCAAATGATATAGCGTTGTATGTTATGCATTTAAAGTATATGCATGCGTAGGCCCCTGCAGGCCGGTGTTGTGACATCTGTCATTACCAACAAAATTTTGCATGGTATGTTTTGTTTTCATGTTAATCACGTGAAACTAGCTGATCTTCATTTGCTGCACTATGTGGCTAATCACTGTGATGCTCACTCAACAGATATCTTTCGGTTCAATTATATTGCACTGGAGCCAGTTCTTATCACGGTAGACATATCTTGTACGTGTCACAGTTTGCACGGATGAGATCGATGAACCTGACAGTTCGTGCAAGGTTGATTGCATCACGACTCCATAACCATAGCATCATCCTGAGCTATTACGAAATCCTCGTGGCGCTTCAGTTTCATCACATCTCGCATGTGCTGTCTGATGCCTTCATCATGGTAAAACGTGTAAAGCTCCAACAACGTTGAATGGTTGAATACCCTTCCTTCATGCCTGACCAGCCTGCTACGCACCCTGTCTTACTGCTCCCACCCTGCTGAGGCCAGACAGCTAAGCCTCCCGGAACAGCTGTGGGCTGGTGGCATAGTGATCGGATGGTCCTCGACCTGCAAGCGGCAGCTCCTCACCGTCCATCTGTCGGATAAATCCACAACTATACATTCGGTGCACATTCCCATGAAACCATCGGGCTGAATGATGTGGTAATCTCACCTAGTAGTTGCAATACAAAGAGCACTAAAAAACACTTGATCTATTTTCGAGATGTGGAAAAACACTGGGGTATTCATAAACATGCCTTATGTGTTGTTCTGCTACGCATGGTTGCTGACATAAATTTCATTTGTGATTGCTATTTTATGGCATTACACATCTGGCATGGGAGCGAGGGTCTCGCTTTAGCAGCCACTTATGTTAATTACACAAGTGCCTCCACAAACTCAAGATGACATTTTACTTCATTCATGGATTGTTCACGCCGGGCTTTCTCGCGAGCGCGGCGCGAAACCCCGTGCCACACACACAACACACAACACACACACACACACACACACACACAACAACACACACACACACACGCACGCACGCCGCACGCACGCACGCACGTCACGCACGCACGCACGCACGCACGCACGCCAGCACAGCACAGCACGCACACCACATATATATATATATATCTATATATATATATATTATATATATATATATGTGTGTGTATGTAGTGTGTATATATATTGTATATATATATTATATAGATATATATATATATACACACACACATATATAGGCATTAAACTAACAAAGAATCACACAATTCTATAGAATTTGGCCTACCCTGGGGTCCCTCAGCCACTCTTGAACAATCTCACCACATGACCTGCCTGAATTTAGCTCTAAATGAGACCCTTAGATTAACAGAAGATGTCCAAACGACTTTTAAATGTTACTAGGAAGGGACTTCCTACCAAATGTTTGGCAGTCCATTTCAATGACTAACCACTCTTTACAACTCAATGAATCTGCCTCTCCATAGTTCCTGCTAATACTTTTTGCTAATTAAAACTGATTTCCTCTAAGTCTCGACCTAATTTCCAGCGCTCCTTGTAGATCTACCTTGTCTATTCCTTTCATAATCTTTAATACCTCTGTCACCTTTATATATATATCACCTATATATATAATACCTATCACCTTTAATACCTCAATACCTAAGTGTATGATATTTCAATGAATACAATTCCACAGCTTTAAGCCTTTCGTTTCATTGTAAGCTGCCAATGCTATTTATGATCCTACTTGCTTTTCTTTGTACTCTCTCCAGACTATCTAGGTCTTTTTGGAAGCAGGGGGACCAATCCTGTACATAGTACTCTAGATGTGGTCTGGCATAAACCAAGAACAGCTTTTTGACAACATTCCTACTCTTGTAAAGGACACTTATGTGCATTCGGCATCGTCTGCCTCGTCCCCCGTCCCGTCCCTCTCAGCTTTGTGTGCGTGCATAGTCAGCTGATGTCTGACCCCCGGTGGCGCGGTCCCCGTGACGGCAGCCGCCTCACCTCTCCTCCACTCGTCGAGATAGCCCCTGCTGGCCATGATGGCACACTTGCCCGTGAACTTCTCGCCTCCGACGGGCGGCAGGCACACCGGCTGCACGTGGTCACTCCAGGTGAGCTGAAGGGAAGCCAAGTGAACGTCAATATCGGAATTGGTTTTGTGCCACAGTGTGGTCGAGTGGTCTGCACTGCTCAATGTGTCGGCACAGCGTATGATTTGACGATGCAATGTCAAATGGAAAGAACTGAGCCTGGTGCTGACGACAGCGACTGCAGGGCCACAAACCCACATAGTATCGACAGAGCCCCAGACCCCACGGTGGTTACAGCCATGAACAGATATAAAGCAGTTGTCACCCAAGAACGGAGACTGTGACTAAGCACGTCTCGTGAAACACACATGCGCCACCTTGTTACAAAGCTGTTTGATTTGGAATCAAAACGCGTGTGAGATAAAACAAAGTTAGGCCCTCCAGCGTGCCAGCATGGCGCACCTGCAGCAGCTCCGGTCGTCGACACCGGCTCCCACCTTTGTGGCAAGCCTCAGGAGGGCGATTATGCTTGTATTATGATCCAACAAGGAGATTATGCATGAGTAATTAGCCGAAGTGAATCTCATTCACGACAAGTGGCCTCACGTCAGTTGGGGTGAACGAGCATGATCTTCTTTTGCGCTGCATCTCTTATGCTTTATCTTACTCACTGGTACCAACTTTTACACCCATTTTAATCATGTCAGCGCACACTGTCACATACTGATTGTCACGTATAGACGTTGGTTGTGCACAGCGAACATGCGGAAGAACATAACATCATTATCGCTTTTGAATGAGAGATTCACTTCAACGTGGGTAAATGTATTCTAATCTTTGAAAAACTGGGCTTGAACACGTCTGTTGAACTCTCAAACGCGTGGAATGGAACGGTGTCAAACAGCGTTGATATATATTAAGGCAAATGTTTCACATTTGTATGGCGTTTTTAACTGAAATAGCCATCTTGAGGACATTTTGATGCAGTTTACGGTCATGCTCTTTTAAGACCCAAAACGCTCTGGTTCCTGAGTTGCACGCTCGCAAAGTATGAAAAAGGTTTATTTACAGCCAGCTTGAAAATCGCTTTCTGATTAATTAGGCCATAGAAGCTTCATTAGATCTCCGTGATAGTGCAGCCTGTTTTTTGTTGATCTTCAACACAGAATGGCCACTGCTACATTCACAAAGGCGATGATGCTGCACATGTGGTACATTCCGCTGATAATGATTGGCTGTTAGGAAGATTTTACTGCTGAATTCGTGTCGCGAACACAAGCGTGGGCATTTTCACGTTGTGCGACACTCGTTGTGAAAGGGGTCATTTTCCTTATTTCTAGGCCACAGGTCAATGCCATAAAAAGAGCACCACTGGATGCAAAAGAGTACGGTACCCCAAAAATGGGCACTCTCCCGAAGCTACCAAAAAAAAGACGCGGCGGCAAATCTGTCTTTTTTCTCCTGCTGGCGTTCTTTTTCTTCTTCTACTAACCTATCTCTTATAAACAGCTCGGTTGGCGCCTTGTGTACCGGAGCACAGAACCTTCCACGGGTTTATGGGTTAGCAAGACATCATGAAACTATGGAAACATTACAGTATTTTTAGATTTATTTTTCTTAAGTATTTCACACACATCGTACAACTTCAGGCCTTGAACAGGACTTTGTTTTGAAGGGGGGTCGCGGTGAAGTTCGGAGTTGTGGCTGAGGATCTGTGCGGAAATTGTGAGAAAACCTGCAATTTAATAGTCCCACGAACCGTTCAAATGTGAGATCACACCTATTTAGCAAAAAGTGTGATTCGGGGGCTCGAAATTGGTGTGATCACTGGTGGTGTGTGCCAGTGGCTTGTATTGGCATTGATGTGATAGGGAGTGTGCGTGCGAGGTTTGTTCTTCTGAGAGAGAACATTGTTTTGATATTCTTTAATCTGCCGACTCCCAATACAATGTGATGCATTGATGTCTGATATATTAATGCCTATTGATATTGATGCCTGCCTCTACCTTTGTTTATGTTTGAACATGGCAAAGGAATGCTGGCAAACTAAGAGAAACACTAGCACTTATGCTGCAGTGATGTACAAGGAAGGTACTGGCACTGCTACTTCATCATGAACATGCCAACATTGTAAACCTATTGAGGTACTACAGCATTGAATTAACCCATTGCATGTCATTATATCAGCACTTCACTTTGGCAGTAGGGGCTGGTGTGTGCAGCACATTAATGAAAATGCTCAGTATAGGCTCACATTACATGGCTCTGCAAAATTGTCTTTTGTTAAATAATTCTGAAAATATAGTTTTATTATTACTGATGCACATTATACTGTCTTCCCAAATATTGTGTGCAGGCGATCATTGCTCCGGAGTAATTGATGTCATAGTCACTGCAACTTGTGTGCACTGGCAGCTTCATCACTTCCTTGCATTTTGCCCATCCAACCTCAGCTACATGCACTTGTCATGTCTCCAGCCTTGTGCAAGGTCAGCATGTTTGCAGTGTCATTTCACCACATGTAAAATTTTCCTGTTATTTCTTAGTACAGCAGCCTGATGGCTGCAGCATGTATGACCATGAAGTGCAGGATGTGTTTGCATGTTTCTCACCTGCGTTTTCTGGATTTCCGAATCAGGCGTACCAGGCGATGCCACTTATTGGTTCTCTGCTTTGCTGAAAGGGATTTGTATTGGGTATCATGTGTTTTTGGTCAGTCATATGTCAGATGGGAAATCAATAGAAGAGCACATGCTTGACCCATCTTTTCATGCTGGAACTTATTATGAAAGCGGCATGGAATGCAGTCGAAAAACCATATTGTTGTTCATTATGTCGTGCCACAGTACAGCACGGAGATAGTGCCACAATGAAGCTATTGACCACTGCCATAACACAATGTGCCACATTGGTTGAGTACTCTATGTCAAGCCTATGAGATAGCAGCTTATAATTTATGAATGACTGGTAAAAATCTATCTAACAATGCCAGAGGACTGTCTACGGTAAGAATGTCGTTGGACCACAATGGTTATATCAGGGTTAAGTAGTAACTGCATGAATAATACTAAGCCCAAAAAATCCCGGTTGCCCAACGTTACCATCCTTACAATATCAATAGCAATGCTTTGACAATCAATGCATGGCAACATCATAACTTTATTAATTTTCGCATGACACCACATTCGAGTTACAAACAATTGAGATAATGTTACAACTTTGTTAATTTTGGCACGACACCCCATTTCGAGTTGTAAACAATGAGGACAGTGATTACTGTACACATCACATAATGCCAAAGTCAGGACCACAGCACTCCGCGCAATGATGGGTCGACAATAAAGTATTGACAAAATCATCAACAGCAAAGCAGCAACAGCAGCAGCACAGCATATCGTGCTTCGATATTACTAATCTGACATAAAGTTGGCAGTCGCCATGTTGCGCATGTCAGACAGTCCACGAAAGCTTTTCTTACGGCCAGCACCAATACAAAAATCCATAAACAACCCACCCACTAATCCGCCCTCCCCCCCCCCCCCTACACACACAGACCCCGCGACGAGAATGACCGGTTGGCGTCAGCTTTCGTGTGTTTTGAGGTATTCTGTAGGTCTGGCTGCCAGATGCTGCCAGGTTTTACTGTCGCCACAAACGCAATTCATGATGCAATCAAACGATAACGTAACAGGGGCCCATCTTTATAAACTTTGAAATTAGGCTACTTACCGTCGTTTTTGAACTTTGAAAGGTTGCCAATAGTTACAAAGAAGGATTTCCCATCATATCTGATGCCTAACTCAATATCTTCAAATGTGGAACATTCCCTTTAATGTCTTGGTAGGCACACAACTGAGCATGACTTTTTATGAACACATTTAGAAGGAATGGTCCGACGCAGGCCGACTCGCTGAAGGCCGCAGCAAGATGTCAAGTGCACATTCGATGTCATAAGGTGTCACTGACCTCAGATAACCTCCAGAGCGGAAGCTGCCTCCAAGGGATGACGGAAAATAATCTGATCAGCGGATATTACCGATTTCAGGCAAATATCAAACTTTGTATAGCATGCACCCATATGAGCTGGTCGAGGCCAAGGTGAATGTGATCTTGATAATAAGATCGATCTAAATTATAGGTAGCAAGGAAAGGCAGCTAAACTGTCTTAGCTATATTGCCCAGCCCTGCTCTTTTGCGGTCTTTGTCCTCGTAGTATGTAGATGAATTTGACAACCATGTGATACTTATGAATTTCAATCCAGTTAATGCAATGTGATGGCGTGAAACCAGATTCACGTATTTCCAAAGACGTCACTAGACGTAAGGCAGTATAAAATATATGGATACTAATGAGTTTACTGTCATTCATCTGGTAAAAAATTGTTTTAGGTAACGCTTTTGGTTTTACTTCTACAGCGTTTTGGCGCAGAGCATGATCAATGTACTTTCCCCGCCTGCATCAACATGTGGACAGGCCCTTCAAAAAGTTCCGACGACGTTTTATCACGGCCCCTTTCCGGAGATTTGTGCGAAAGGCTCGACGACATTCTTTAGCTCCTGAATTGTGGGTAGGGTAGGCTTTTTACCTTTGCCAAGTTCCGGGAGATTTGTGATCCTTTTGTGGTTCTGCGCGTTTGCAGTGCGCATTTGTGATATCTAACTGCCACCACCAGCAAGCTTGGCCATGCACTGTTCGTTTTCATGTATATCACATGCATCTATCTAGCATTCAGTTGCTGGACTTAGTGGCCTCGTCGTACGATGCCCAATAAACAGATAATTTCGTTTCAGCTATATTACATTAGGACAAATACTCATCACGGTAAACAAGTCTCACACTTGCCACAGTTTGCGCGGCTGAGATCACATGAACCTGAAGGCTCATTCAAGGTTCATTGCATCACACCTTCAAAGCATGGCATTATCCTGAGCGCTTCCGGAACCGTCATAGCGCTTCAGCTGCATCAGATCTCACATGTGCTGTCTGACGCCTCCATCATACTAAAACGCGTAAAACTCCAACAACGTTGGATGCCTGAATAGCCTTGCTTTCAGTTTTTCATGTCTTGTCAGCATGCTGCGTCGCTCACACCCTGCTGAGGTCACACAGCTAAGCCTCCCGGAACAGCAGTGATCTGATGGCACGGTAATCGGCTGATCCTCGACCTGCCGGCGGCAGCTCCCCACCGCCATCTGTCGGATAAAGCCACAGCTGTACATCCGGCGCACATTCGCGTGGAATCATCGGGCTGAAATAACGCGATAATCTCAGCTAGCAGTTTATACAAAAGAACACTAAGAACACTGATGTATTTTTGGTGATTGCGCGGAAGTGTTGGGAGAGTCTAAGCATACCTCCGGGTTGCTTTGATGCGCATGATTGCTGACATCATTTGTTATGGATATTTTATGGTATACATCACATATCTCTCATGCGAGCGAGGGGTGGCCTCACAAGCGACTTGTGATAACTATGCAAGTACCGTCACAAATCCCAGCTGAGTTTTCCCTGTATTTATGGAGGGTTGCACGATGCCAAAGACTGTAAGTTTGATCATTCACACCGGGTTTTTCAGCAGCGAGGCGCGAGCCCCCGTGTTTTTGACATCGTATGCCTCCGCCGCCCGTCTCGGCCCTCTCACCTGTGTGTGCGTACATGCGCTTCAAAAGCTGGTGCGGGCGCTGATCTGGCCCACCACCCACTTGGCGTACACGGTGAGGTCAGTGTAGATGCCCGGAAGGTTGGGCCTGCCACAGCCAATGCCGGCCGACACGACGCCGGCCACCTGGTACTCCTTCCCCACCTGCACCACCAGCGGACCGCCGCTGTCCGCCTGCCGGGAGGGGTGCACGAGCACCCGTCAGCGGAAGAAGGATGTGTGTCTCAGATGCCACCAGAGGGCCGCCGCTGTTTGGAGGGCCTCTCGACCGCTGGAAGGAAAGCTAAAGACGTCCACTGTTGTACCAGCGGGAGGCTGCTCTCTTCCGGGAAAATGCTAAGTATGTGGCATCATCAGGGCCTAGCAAGCCTGTATGCCTGCCGGTATTAACTATTTGGTAGCTTTGACATGAAGAAGTGTGGGGAATAGTGGGGAACACTACATGCGCCTGGGGGTTCTTCGCCGAGACTTAGCCCACATAGGGACTCCTGCGAGGGGTATGTGCCCTGCGCTTGGATGAAGACCCCGATAGGCCGCCCACTCAAGGCTGGCGTATGCAGCGTGCCCGGGGTAAAACGGGGCGTCGCGAGTATGCAGGAATCAGCGAGAACGAGGGCAGAGAGGAGCCAGCGCCCTAGTCGGTACAGACCGCTTATATGAGCATCAGACACTTGTGCACTTTCATGGCGTATGTGACGTGACGTCATATGAACAACACTTGGCGTATGCTACGTGACGGTCACACATCACCAGATATGCATGTGAACCATTTCTAAGTGAAGAACACCATGTTGAGGACTTGTAATTGTTCCGCCTGTTCTCCAGCATCTCACCTGGCAGCTGTCCTTGCCGCCCTCCTTGTACCCGGCACATATCTTGCCCTCGCTTATTTTGATGCTTTTCTTAGCTTCGGTGAACCAGTCCTGGCAGGTCTGTCTGGAGAGGACGGGCACCTCCGTCCATTGCAGGGTGTCGGGACGAGTTCCACCTGCACAGCAACCATGGCTCAACGATTGTAATATTACATGCTGTGCAGTTCGCAGTGCTAGCAGCATGCACTCACCTAATACTGTCTAAAGGTCTTTTATGAAGAAAATAATATCTGGTCAGTTAATCAGATTTTCACAAGTTGAACCAAATTCCCGAGACCCTACGTGTCCAGATCAAACAACCGCCCTATTTCTAGGTTGGAAATTCGATCAGAAATGATGACCGGAACGGCGTCATTAAGGTTTTTCCGACCAGACTTGAGCCGTGACCTTGATACTTAAGTATGCCCTGAAACGCTGGCTTCTGCAGGTCTGACAGCGAATCTGAGCCCGACAGTCAGGTGGTGTCTGAGCCGCTGTAGCGCGGTCCCCGTGACGGCAGCCGCCTCACCTCTCCTCCACTCGTCCAGATAGCCCCAGCCGGCCATGATGGCACTCCTGCCCGTGAACTTCTCGCCTCCGACTGGCGGCAGGCACACCGGCTGCACGTAGTCACTCCAGGTGAGCTGAAGGGAAGCCAAGAGAACGTCAATATCGGACTTGGTTTGGTGCCACATCTTGAGATGGTCAGCACTCTCTCGATATGTCGGCATAACGTATGATTTGACGATGCAATGCCAAAGGGAAGGGACTGAGCCTGGTGCTGACGACAACGACTGCAGGGTCACAATCACACATGGAATTGATGAGGTCCAGACTCCACGGTGGTCACGGCCATGAACAGCTTAAAAGAAAACGTCACCCAAGAACGGCGACTGTGACTATGCACGCCTCGTGAAACACGCATGCGCCATCTTGTTGCAAAGCTGTTTGTTTGGAATCAAGTCGTGCGTGAGACAAAACAAAGTTAGGTCTTCCAGCGTGCCAGCATGGCGCACCTGCAGCAGCTCCGGCGTCGTCGCCGGCTCCCACCTTTGTGGCCAGCCTCAGCAAGGCGATGTCGTCGTCGAACTTGCCCTCCTGGTAGCCGTCGTGCACGATGCGCTCGGCGATGGCCACGCTGTGTCTGCTCGCCTCGGGCTGGGTCAGGTTGTGACCGCCCACGGTCACCGTGAACTGGCTGGCCGGCCGGTCGCCGAAGCAGTGCGCCGCCGTCAGCACGTACTCGTCGTTGAGCACGGCGCCCATGCAGAAGTGTGAGCCGTGGTGCTGGACTGAGGCCGACCAGGGAAACTGGCCGTGGTACGCCGCCTGGCCGCCCTTGACCCGCGTCTGCCGCCCGGCCACCAGACGGCGGCCGCAGGGCACGTTCGCCACTGCAGGCACAGACACCACCCGTCACTGAAGTGTCGTGGACTCCGTGTTCGCAGTGAGGGCATGGGGCTTTGGTAGTCGGTGACAGGAGGGTTGCCATGTATCGTGCTATAATGGTGCTTTTTTGGCCGCCTAGGTACGGAGATCTTTAAATAGCCGCAACATCATTTCGCCTGATATAATGCTCATGTCCTGCTAAAACGGGACAACTAATGCAGGGCTGGTATGCGAGATGCGGTCCTGCAAGGTAGGATAGGTATGCATAATGCAGTCTTGAATGCTATTCTGGGTACTCGGCGAAGAAAGTGCCATGTCTCGCTATGCGATGTAAAATACATTTGGAAAACAATGTCATGCTATCCATGTTCCCGTCAATATATCAACTGATAAGTTCATGTTGTACCAGGCAGCGTGTTTGAATAGTTTTGGTTGACCATAGGCAAAAATGATGTACGCAACCCGGCTGGTGCCTGTATCCCTTTAACCCCGTATAACCCTGCTTAAACACAGGGTTATATCCATAGCTGTACTTACAGTTCATCGCTCTCGTGCTCTGGCAAAGCACACCAATGGCGGACAAAAGCACCACGAGTCTCGTCATTTTGCACAACACCTCTCTTTACAGGACACCAAACAATCCCGATTCCCTGCACTGCGTAGCTGCACTGACAATGTTTCCATCGTTAGCTTTATTTAAGTACACTCACTCTGCTTCCTCGGTGCGCGGATGACGCCATGCAAGGTCGCTTCCGGACGAATTGGAAGCATTTGCAGGGCTGCACGTCGGCTTCCGGTGCCAGCTCGGCGGCGAAACAAGCCAGCCACTGTGTGGCGTCCCGCGCCGCACGCGTCGACCTGCCGCCCCCTGTGACCTTACACGAGGTCAGACCGGACACGGCAGCGCCTGTTTGCGGAAGCGCAGCGCGCGAGCTAGCAGCTCTGGCGGGCCAGTGAGGACGGTCGGCGCCGGTGAGATGTCCGGACTGTGACGCCGAGGTCTGTACTCAGAGACGGATGTCACCGGCGCATAGTGGTGTGGCCTTGGTCCATGTCGCAGATGCGTGAGAGACGGCCATCGGGGACGTGCTGGACAATATTCTGCGCCGGTAATTTCCATTGCAGTTTCAGCATATCACCGGCGGCTGTGGTCCGGGGCGATATTGTCCACTGCAGCAATGAAGCTGCCATTGATGACATTTCGACAATGCGGAAACAATGTTCCATGGTTGGGAGTACCGCCTCGGCCGTTCCGCTGGTGCGTGTGTTGTCCCCCATTATCTGTTTCCGATGTTTTGATTCCGCATATCAGCTGCCAGCGCGCGACTGACAAGGTCATCACAAGGTCATCACAGAGATGCCAGTTGGCGGGGGCCTAGAAAGATCAACTGAAACGGCTTTACGCCACACATATTTTCCAGCATTTTTGCGCCTGTGCTCTTTTCAGTGAATTTTGCGCTGCACTCAAAAGGGTGCCGATGGTGCAGTGGTTAACGCATATACGCGAGCTTCTGCGCGTCTGAGAAACCTGAGATACGGGGTTCGGGTCCTCGCGGTGTCCGCCCTTCCTGTCAGGGAGAGGGGCAGGCGACGCCATACAACTTCAGCACCTGAGTGCGTCTTCACGCCCCAATGACGACGACGCGTTCGATTCAAAACGTGCAAGTGAAACGAGGAAAATGAGCTGGGTCGATCCGGCGGGTGATGCGGTCTAATCCATTACAGTGGGTCAGCTGTTGATGGGATCAACAAACAGGTTGAGCAAGCGGCTTCGGACCCGATGAATATTTGTGCTTTCATGTGTTTCCAGGTTTTCATCGATTTGAAACAAATATGTAAGCACTATGTTCAAACAAGCCAGTAGATAGTCTGAGATCCAACATTTCGCTACAATATGCCATTTAATCGTTTTCAGGACCATTTGCTGCAAAACAGTCCAGCGGTATGTACAAAACAGTCCGGTGTTTGTAAAATAGGCATGAAGAATCGCTGAATCAATGGTGCATACAACATCCAGCACTGGGGCGCTTGTGAAGTACAGTCCCAACAAGATCATGGCCAGTTGACAGCTGCGAATGAGACTCTGGTATACTGGCTTTGGCTCTTATTTTGAGTGGATTGGATTTGGATGAGATCAGCCTTGGAAGAAGTTGAAAGAATTGGATTTGGATTTGGATCCTACTTAACCGATTGGTATGTATCAGATCAAACACGATTTACCGGGTTCGCACTCTGCTCTCTTCATAGTCTCACTATCAGTAACGCAGCCAGCCAACGAAATCGGATGCTCCCTAGCCACTGGTTGGCCCCTCCACCATAAGTGATCGACCTGACAGGAAACGTCCCGTAACTTACAGGTAGTAGCGATTATAGACTTTCTTAGCTACGGGTGATGATGACTGATGAGTGAACCTAAAGCATTCTACGTTTTTTTTTCGTTTTGCTCAATAGGCTCAAAACTTCGCAGTTCATGAGAGTTCATCGCAACTTGCGGACAGCATGCTCGATTATTGGTCAGCCGCGCTGGACCGCGTGCCGCTGTTGGCCTACGTGCTGCAGCATGGCCGGCGCGCGCTTCACCGTCTCGCCGTTGCATACCGTGCGGTCGCGTAATGCAATCGGTGATCAGTGCGTACAAATGTGCACAGTCCCAATAACGTCTCACTTCAATACGTCAGCGGTTTTGCAAGGTTCAAAACGGCCGTTACCATAAATATATCATGCCACTAAATTGGCAACACCCATGTTCAATTACTAGCAGATGTCTACGATCGGAAGAGGGGCATCAGCTGTAAAATGGTTTCATCTCGCAGGCAAACTGGACAAACTGAGGTAAACCGGGCGAGTTACAGAACACCCAACGCTTGAAAGGCAAATTCCTACAATGCAGGTAGGACTGCGAGGTAATGAACTCGTAGTTTGACATACATTGCACACTACCCGCCATGTGATATTTACGAATCCATTGAAGTTGTACTAGGTTATGAATTATTACATAACATTACACGCACCATTGTGGTGTTTAACTGCAGGCTCACGTTTGTCAACACAAGCAAAAGGAATGACGTCCTACAACGGCACCCCTCACGCTCCTCCAATTAATTTTTTGCTGGTGCATGACACTTGGACGTCTAGAAAATCATTTATGAGGATTATATATATATATATATATATATATATATATATATACAGACTTGGACCCTACTAATAACCCTTTTGCCATCCCAACAAGCTCCTGTTTTCATGTCCAGGATTAGCGGCTCATGGGGCACCACTACATGTTGGGGGACTTGGAAGGGGGAGACTTGAGCCTCCAAAGCCCCCCCCCCCCCTTCCATAGCGCGATAAATTCCGCGCCTCTGCCATTATGGATCAGTAGGTAAGTGCCCAAGTATACTTAGGCACAAGTGTACTTTCTGCTCTATGGAGCAAAGCTCGCATTTGATCATAAACTACACTTGGTGCACGCTGGTATCGTGCTTCTTCTACTTGCTTCTACTTGCTTCTACTTGCTTCTTCTACTTGCTACTTGGTATCGTGTTTCTTCTACTACTTCTTCTTCTGCTTCTTCGTGCATTCAGATTGTAATGCTTCTCAAGAAGGTATTGATATCCTATAAACAAGTAAAAGAGTGTATCGGTCGATGCAAGCCTGCATTGCCAATTTTGCAGCTAAATGCAGACTCCAGGCAGCGGGGCATGAATTTGAGAGGTCAGACTACTGCATGTCAGCTAAGTGCGCTGATGTCTGGCTGCTGCATGTCAGCTAAGTGCGCTGATGTTAGACTGCTGCATGTCAGCTAAGTGCGCTGGTGTCAGACTGCTGCATGTCAGCTAAGTGCGCTGGTGTCAGACTGCTGCATGTCAGCTAAGTGCGCTGGTGTCAGACTGCTGCATGTCAGCTGAGTGCGCTGGTGTTTTCAGCTCCGTGTTTGCCATTGGATGTTCGCTAGTCCTGGCATATCCTCTTGGGAGACGGGGAGGGGCGGCGGACATTTGGTCTCGCTTATCTTGATGCGGCGCAACAGCGTTCACTTGAATGTTTTTGTAGCGATGGTGCTGGGTGGGGGAAAGAAGGGAGATATGCATCAGCTTTTATTCTGAGCTCCCTCTTACTTTAAGCAGCGATGGCAGGACTGAGATTCTTAGATCTGCAGGCACGCATAGCCTTCAGCTTTATATGTAGCGACAAAGAGCACGTCTTTGTTTTTGGTGAATGGCGTCTAAATGACCTTGTTTCCAATGAGGCAACTCGCCCCCCCCCCCCCCCCTGGGGTAAATTGTATCACATGGTGGAGGAAGTTAAGCTTATATTTTCTTTGTCATGGAGTTAGTTACGTCGCAAGCAAGCTACATGCGCTACGACATATATACCAAATGGCCCATCCGTGCTATTTCATGATTCTTCGTCGTGGCAACATGACATAATTGTTTCCCCTAATATCAATCTGTGATTTTTACGATTGCGGCCACCTCAGTTTCAGTCGTTCAGTTAGAAATTTTAGGTCTACAGACATAGTGTAAGCACCATCTCGTTTTCTGGGTGACATTAAGTTTTGATAATCATGTCATTCAATCATTGGCAGCAAGTCAATCAATGACATATATTCGATGCGTTGTATCTCTGACACAACATGCCCCATGTACAGTTGATGCAACATGTACTGCCCAACATCTTAGAAGAAAGTTCGTACCATCCATAAATTTTTGGCAAGCAGACGCCAAATGGCTTGCGGTACATCCGACACATGCACTTGTGCACCACTCATTATGACATTCAGAATGGCCTTGTTATACCGTAAGCCCTCAAACACACATCTACACCGATCGCTATAGTTTTCATTGACATTCAAAAACCTGATCTGTGGCGCTCATCCCAAGTTGTGCGCGCGTTCACGGCCGAAGTAAGACTGAAAGGCAGTGAGTGCTACTGTGCTTCAGCTGAGTGATTCAACCCTGCCATCCATTGCATGATTTGAATAAATCACTCTGATACTATTTGAACATTATACAACTTTTCCGTACTTCCTGATATAATATACAGTCTTGATGATACACTCTCCCGTGCCCTTTCTACCCTTCCATTATTTCTGGTTCTCGTATACATCATTTTGCATGCCCCCGAACAGGGGCGCAACCAGGATTTTCTTAAGCGAGGCGCCAGGAGCTCAGGGAGTATGCAGCACGCCAGGAGCGTAGTTTCGCAAAATGAGTTTGGAGGGGGAGGCTGAACTGTGGGAAAGGACTCAGCCTACCCGCAGAATACGCCAAAAACTGGTTGCTATGGAGATTTCACCCTGGCGAAACGGTGCCTCTGAACGTTGTTGCTGCGGGGGTGGGGGCGGGGGATGGGATACTAGGAAATTGGAAAATGTTTTTGTCTGTTCTTTGGTTTTTCACTCCTTATGGTTTTGCATGTTTCCTGACCACGTCTGTTATCGTATTGATTTAAAACCAATGCCTGCAGTTGGGTCTCAAAGCACGGCAGCAGATAAGGAGGGGGGGGGGGGGGGGGGCAGGGGCTCCTCCACTCTGTTCTGTACTTGACAATACATGCAGTGTGCATGAAAATATTTGATGATAATGTAACAAAAGGTAATAGATATAGAACTACGGTAATACAAAATGATAACGATGGAATCAAAATGGTACCTGAAACAAATACATCAGTGAAGAAATAATATAAATAAAGAGATACTCATCGCGTCAGCCCTCCACTATATTTCCAGAATGGATCCACGGGCACTGGTGCGCTATTATCATATTCTTTCACATAGCTCGGTTTTCCAATTTTCACTGGTGGATATTAATTACGATTGACCAGTAAGTGGTGGGTTCGGCTACTGCATTGGGTCTTGTGAGACCAGCTGCCGTGCCGCATCTCGTGGGATCGGTGACTACGCTGGCTCCAGTGAGGTCAGGTAATGAGCTGGCTTAGAGTCAGCAGAAGGTGAATGAGTCGATGCACTGGTATGGCCAGGTGTTGCCCAAGGCCATGCGGCTTGTTCAAGGCTTAGGGGATATTTCGCCACGGTCCTGATTTATGTTTCCAGAACACCTGCAGCGAGTACATAGCTCATGTCACACAGGTTACATGTGGCGTGCACCGTAGGCGCACGTGCGTCTACGGTGCACGCCACAGTGCTTTACCATGGTTTCAATTGATCCGGTGCGATATGTTGCCGGATCGTCCTTGAAAATGTATTTGCAGCTTTGATTTGCTTTTAAGCCACATAATCGCCAAAGCTTTGCGTCCAAGTCTTTACCACATTCGTTAAGACTGGTCGTGGCCTGAGTTGTCATTTTTCCAGATTAATTGGGTATATCTTTGAGCCGAAAGAACTTGCTCAACAAACTGCAATCATGTCGCAATAAGCAATCAAACAGAAGCACCCATGGATCGATTCCGTTCATCGTCCAAAAAATGTTGAACTGCCCGAGACACATGGGATGCTATCTACCGAGCAAAGCAGGAAAACCAAGAGCCGCCGGGAATGGGTGTGGATGAAAATGCTGCCCACCATCTGTGCCGTTGCTTGTGTGTTTTCCAAAAGGCGCTGATGCCATGCATTTGAAGAAAGGCATGTGTCCGAGTGAGCTACTCTTTTTAAAGTTCTTGCACACCGAAAAAGGGCTTAGTTTGCTACAGTGCAAAGTCGTTTGAGAAAGCATGGCCTACTTACCTGTACATGAAAAAGATCATATCGTTATCACTGGCGTGTCATATCTAGGCCTATCGCATTTCGCGTTCCAGTAACCTCGTTCGAGCAATGCATGACAGTCATTTTGTCCCAAGAAAATTACAGATTTAACGACATTTAAATGGCTCAAAATGGCCGGGGCGGGAGGGGGGGGGGGGGGGGGGGCGGAGCGAAGAAAGCAGTGGGCCGTCATGTTGAGGCAGTCTGGGTTGAAATGACCGTGAGAAGATTACGATCTTTACATATTTGTATCATGGTAGCGGGTCATGTATGATAAAAGGAGGTTGAAGTGCCATGAGACTGTAAATGTTACAGGTGCGAGATATCGAGGGTGGCTGAAACGGCTAGATGCTACAAGATTGCTTGGTCCATGAAATTTTGTTCTTTATTGGGCCATATATATTTAATGCTGCCAGATAAGAAATGTTTGTGTCCAGTGTGCTTGGCCAAGAAGGGCATTGTGCATCGCATTAAGCCAAACCCATTGGTACAGGCGGCCTGGCATGGTTTAACGATAACACCTAAGACGCAAGCAAATAAAGCATGCACTTCGGCTGATGCACACCTGCGTTTCACCACAGAGAACCGCCAAAAAAAAAAAAAACAACAAACAACCGATGTGAAATGGAATCGTGTTGATACAAAACAAATTCGTAGCCATTTTGAGGCCATGCATCTCGAGAGACCCAGGGTAAGGACTGAAATTACTGGGTCGATGAAATCACAATAGCCGCCAGAAAGCTTAACCTCAGTCGACAATAATTCATGTTAAGGGGTAAAACACGTTTAGATCCACATCCAAATGGTTAGCTTTACCGCATTTCCGTGGATTTCTAAAAAGACATCAAGTGTGTCTCATTTGGTGTAGGTCTAATCAGGTGTTCGGTGTAACGAACATCCCTCTTCTCTGCAGATTCTTTAAGACATTGTAAGCGGTCATTCGGGCCAATCCAGTATCTTCGAAGCAGCGATTAACCACAGGTTTGGAAACGCCGGAGTTGTCTTGCACATATGTAGCGATGATATCGTGAACCACGTGTCCGTTAAGGGACCCCCCCCCCTCCTTAGAGCAAAGAGAGCGTAGAGATGACAGAGACTTGCCCCGCATACCGCTACCATAGGACCTAATAGGGCCTGGCTGACAGCACATGTCCATAATTCATTCATCGTCGCGTGTGACAAGAATCGTGCTCCCACAATGCATCCAGCCTTCACTACAGTCAGTCAAAATTGGCTTTTGACGAACACAAGACCTTGGTTTCTTATTTCCACTAGTTCCGTCACCAACATCAGACCATGGTTTGTGGCTCCCGCTTGTTCAGTCACAAAGACCAAGCACGGGTTCGTGGTTACCATTGGTTCCTCAAAAACGACAGACCCATTTTTATGGTTGTCGGTGGCTCGCTCAGAAAAGAACGGTTGCTATTTCCTTCTCATCAGTGGTTCCTTCGTAAGCGGTGGATCGGGTTTCCATTTTGTAGTTATCTAATGATATGCACTGTGTGGATACCCACTGGCTCCTGGCAATAACTCCGGCTAAGATTTGGTTCTCGCTGGTTCCTTTGACATCATACTGGACCTTGGCTATTGCTGGATCGTCAGCAGAATTCCCGCCAGGACTGGGATTCTAGCCTGATTTCTGAATATATCCCAAGCTGAATCTGAATCCTTGCTGGACATCTCGGCTAAATTCCAGGGTGGATCTTGGCTCTTGCTGTAGTACTGTTAATACCCCAGACAGGATATAGGTCCTTGTTGTATCTCTTCGCTTGGGTTCAAGCTGGATCCTAGTTCCTGCTGATTCTTCCAGCACAATTCAGTAGTAAATCTTGGTTCTTGATAAACACCCCTTTTGATTTCAATGCAGTGCGAGTCGATGTAAACGCCAGAACTCTCCCGGGTACGTGAAATACGTCATGGACATTCAAAACGTATACGCTGTAAGCCCGCCAAATATTCCACATTCATCCCCATTGTCTATGCCGTCGAAATTCACTGTTAGATATATTTACCTCTGAATCAAGTACGCCTGCATTTTGTTACGCGACCACAAAGACAACACAGCTGAAATGTGGATGATGTAAGTACCAAGGACAAAAACATTTCATGTCTTTGAGCCACTCCCACCGGTTAACTTGTCAGCGATGGCTGTATAGCTGAACGGTCAGCTGACCCAGCCTGTTTTGTGCTCCTGTTCCTCGCCACTCATGAGGAGTCTGATTTGAAGCATGAGAGGAGCTTTAAACATCAAGTACCAAGCTGTAAGACGTCATGAATCCTGATATCAGGCGAAACCTTTACTCATCTACGCCTTTTATTTGGTGTAATGCGTGCGCACATCATTCACAGGACGAAACAATGGTCACACAACTCGTCAGCTACGCCACTCTGTGCGTTGACCTCACATAAATCGCAACCGGTCTGACGTAAAGCCCGGTCATCCGCACTCGTCAACAGCAACAATTTATTTCAAACACCATCAAATAGACATGGGGCATCGCGGATGGACACAATAGTAGGCACTAAACTGGACATTCGCTCCCTTTAAATTAATGCATCATGTAACAGAGACCTGAGCGGTACCATGGCACACACTTGCCGTCGCCCCCGGTACGGTACCATGGCACACACTTGCCGTCGCCCCCGGTACGGTACCATGGCACACACTTGCCGTCGTTCCCGGTTCGGCACGATGGCACACACTTGCCGTCGTGCTCGGTGCGTGGCGTACGGACGGGATCAGACAGGTGTTTATCTTCGTGCAGGGCCGTCACGGTGAGATGCGAACGCTCTGTCTTAGCTGCGGAGGCACTTCAGTCTCTTGCAATATTCTCCCGAACTCTCCCCACATGCCTAACTGAATGATGGTCTCCTCACGAGCTTAGGTCCAGCGCTGCAGCATCCACATCTTACTTAACACAAATGTAATTACCTAGGAACCAAGCCATGTAATTAACTCATGAGCTAATTCATGCAATTTATTCGAGGTAGCTGTCAACGAGCAATCATCATGGACGGGAATTAACTCCTTTGACTGTAACTCGTCCTCATGTTGCATGAAATTTAGGTAGACATGGATGCCAGCGACAACTGAATAACCTGTGCATGCCCGCGGTGAGGCAGCTAGCCCACGTGTATCGCCGCACGCCAACGTAGCCCCTGCTGCCACTGCAGTCGACAGTCCGGAGAACACCGGAGAGGTGCGGCATGCTCATCCCCAGCTGAGCGGCCGAAGGCCGCACCGACACATGGGAGCGTACCGGGAGCTCTGGATGACAAGCAAAGCCCGGTCACATGACGGTTATGGACACGGGCGTGAGATCTTGACGAGCGACCGTCGAAGGTCGCGTTTTCAGTCGCGGTGAACTAGCCAGGTGTCATAGAATTGCCCATTTTTAAAGCAACAAACACGACGGAGCGGGCGCCGGCGCCTCCACACTCGCCGTCACGACGCCGGGCAGTGCTGCCGCTCTGACAGCAGACCGCCCGGCCGCTGGCCGGAGCGTCTTCGGTTAGCTGCCGCTGGCGTTCTCGACGATCCAGTCGAGGTACTCGTGCACGTCGGTGTAGATGCCGGGCAGGTTGGGGCGAGCGCAGCCGATGCCGGCCGATACGACGCCGATCAGTGTGTAGTGACCGTTCCGCCGGGACACGAGGGGACCGCCGCTGTCGCCCTGCAACCGGAGGCGTCACAAGTCAGCACAGCTCCGCCTGCCTGGGGTTCGTGCGGCGCCAACATAGCACGGGACACTGCACCTATGCGGTGTTCGTGATGGTGCCGGCTACATCCGGCGCAGACCTGTTAATGCAGCGCTCTCCGCCGTATTAATCTCAGGTGAATGCATTTGACCGCGCACACAGCCCAGAGAGCCGTTGCAGTAATGGAACCGCACCGGAACCATACCGGGACGGCGGCAGAACCGCGAAGGGATCGCACTGGAGCCACGACAGTGCTGCGTTTCTCCTCTGACCTGGCCGGGACACATGTCGCACTCTGGCCTGACGGAGCCACGTGCAGCCCTCTGACCTGACAGAGCTGCGTGCCTCCTCTGACCTGACAGAGACATATTTTGCACTCTGGCCTGACAGAGACACATGACGCATTCTGGCCTGACAGGGCCACGCGCAGCCCGCTGATCTGACACCACCCTCTGACCTGACAGCTGTCCTTGTCGTTCTCTGACCTGACAGCCGTCCTTGCCGCCGCTCTTGTAGCCGGCGCACAGCTGGCCGCGTCTGACGGTCACGCCTCTTTCGGCCTCGCTGAACCAGCTGGAGCACGTGGTGGCCGTCACCACGGGCACGTGAACCCGCTGCAGCACCTTCGCTTGCTGCCCACCTGCGTCGGCACGTGGGAATGCTGCGTTACCGGCGGAGCACGTGGCGTCGGTACGCAGCGCATGTCCACACACGGCCTTCTTGTGCCAAAGCCATGGCGGCACGCTTACGCATGGAATGGCGCTTTTGACCAATGCATTGTTCCAAATACCCCTTACGGCAGCATTGTCAGCACCTTATGTCCAAAGGATTTAATGTACCGACATTGCCACAGTGCTGACTTGCTAAACGTCCGGGTTACAGGTGAACTTTTAACAGCAAACACCGGCGTATGAGGCGTATCCGCCGCTTCCGTTTGCCGCTCCGAGTTATACTTGTAAAAGATGGCGTATGCCGCTTGATGTCGTAAGCTAGGAGCCAGTATGCCACACTGTGCCAACGCTTGACAAAGGCCACACCAAGCGATATTTGGGGATTGTTGTCGATAGTGACCTTTGGAGTACTCGTCGAGCCATCCCCAGCCGGCCACGGTGGCTGGGTCGCCCTGCACGGGAGGCGAGCCGACGCTGGGCAGGCACACCGGCTGCTTGTACTGGTCCCAGGTGATCTGGAACGGACGCGGGAGTCAGCTGAGCTGAAGGTAGGCTGCAGCGAAGCAACCACAGTGGACCGTGACTGTCGCAGCAGCGCAGAGGCGTTTCACTTGAACTAATAGGTACTTGTGTTCAAAACGGGGTTAGTAGAAAAAATTGAGCGCTTAACGATTGCTCACTCTAATTTTATTCCCCAATGCTCGTGTTACGTTCCTGAATGGTCATTACGTCGAGCGCAGTCCAGTTCTAAGACCCACGAGTAAGGACCAATTGTAGAAATGCGCCGGCACTGAACACGCTAAGCCACCGTCGCCATCGGCGACAAGGAAAGGCCTGATCGCACACCACTTCATCTGCGAGCCGGAGCTGGCAGCGGCGCCGGAGCGCGCCGTTGCCACTAACGCGAGCGGCGAGGCGGCGGCCGCCTGGCGCAGCTCACCTTGTCACTCAGCCGGAGCAGCGCGATGTCTTTCTGGAAGCTGGGGTAGCGATATTGGCCGTGGCGGATCACTTTGGCCACCCGGTGCCTCTCCTGGGAGTGCTCGGCCCGGGTCAGGTCGTGCTCACCCACCACCACCGAGAGATCCAGCCGGGCACGACTGCGGACACGGCGCGAGGTCAGCGCCGGCTCGGCTCCGCGGACACGGCACGAGGTCAGCGCTGGCTCGGCTCCGCGGACAGGGCGCGAAGTCAGCGCTGGCTCGGCTCCGCGGACAGCTCGGCTCCGCGGACACGGCGCGAGGTCAGCGCCGGCTCGGCTCCGCGGACATCTCGGCTCCGCGGACACGGCGCGAGGTCAGCGCCGGCTCGGCTCCGCGGACATCTCGACTCCGCGGACACGGCGCGAGGTCAGCGCCGGCTCGGCTCCGCGGACATCTCGGCTCCGCGGACACGGCGCGAGGTCAGCGCCGGCTCGGCTCCGCGGACATGACCGGCGAGGCCGGTCAGGTGACGTGCGTCGTCGACCGCGCCAGCCGCCAGGAGGGCTGATGTGACGGCTGAGCCCAGCGCCATTTCCGGCTCCAGGTGTCAGCTGTGTGGTGATTGCCGGGAGGTGCACTATCGTCACATGTTCTTGATCGTCACACTGATTTGGGTACAGTGGTGTGGCCTCCGCACGCACTAGCTGGCGGCGGGACCCAGCTGTGCTACCGTCGTAGCTCGATTATCATCGGGCACAACAGCGCAGCCTGACGTTTAAATGACATCCTATTTATAATGACTTGAAGCGGCTGTGGCAGTGCGGGCAACGTTGGGCAACGGGCAACCATTCAAAGCGTGCCCGACCGATAAACAACAGCTGTGGGAGCTAAACAATTGCACCTTGACAGAATCCTATCATCAATGTGATATACGCGCTTAAGACGACGGGGTAAACTTCCTCACCCCTGCAGGCAGTGACTGGCGGTGATGATGTACTGGCGGTTGATGATGGTGCCCCCACAAAAGTGTTTCCTGTTGTACTGCACTGAGGCGGCCCACGGGTACTCGCCGTGGTAGGCCGCCTTGCCTCCGACGATCTTCAGGCGGGCGGCCAGGATCTGCTGCTCGCCGCAGGGCACGTCCGCTACTGTAACAACGGCATCGGCAGGGTCTACCACGGGCCACGTCAGCCACTGAAACAACAGTGCCAACAAGGTCTACAACAGGGCACGTCCGCCACTGTAGCAACAGTGAGGACAGGGTCTACCACAGGCCAGGTCCGCCACTGAAACATCAGCGACGGCAGGGTCTGCCACAGGGCACATCCGCCACTGTAACAACGACATTGGGGGTCTCTTACCATGGCACGCTTTGAGGCAGCAACGTTGGGGGAGTGGGTGAGGGGCGAGGGTTAGGGGGGTGTCTGTCCACGGGGCAAGCTCGCCAGAAGAACAGCGGCGCCAGAACGTATCATCCATTCGATGAGTGGCATGGAAATCACAAATTCAGCAGACGAACAGCGAGCGCGGTTTGTCATCAACCGGAGCATCCACTTAAGGAAGCTGATGGCACTTCCTCGCCTTTCGAGACAACGTGTGCCGCGTACGGCCAGAGCTGGACTTGGTGCTTTGATACGGACAAGTATGTTATCAATACCAAAAACACTATGTGACGTGCTACTACAGAAACAGCGGTACAGTTCAGCACGTTTAAATGCTGTTATCACGTTGATCCAGGAAAGAAATTACACGTGGCAGTGCAGGCTGATATGATTCTCTCCATTTTTCGTGAAAAGGAAATTATTTAACCCATCTTTACTTGAAATAATCTTTGTTTTGTGTCATTCTGGCGGTAGGATCATTTTTTCCGCCAGGAAACGACACTCCGTAGCCTTTGTCCGCCACCGACAAGGCAATGAATGACAGGCATTGGCTGTCGCTGCTAAACCGAACATCAGCTTCATGATCAAACTGGCCGTCAGTTTGCAGGTGTGCCGAATGTCACCCAAGCTTCAGGTTAACTCACAGTTCATGGCGTCCGAGACTAACACCAATGCCGTCATCAGCAGAGCAACTGCGTTCCACGTCTGCGGCACCATCTCTGAACCGTGCACCTCACACGGAAAGCACGCACACACTTCTGCCGTACATCTTCGTCCCCGCTCTTAAATACGGCGTCCGATCCTGCACAAGGGCCTGCCCCTCCCCGCAAGGTCAACAACACGTCACGTGACCCGGCCGTCTTACCGCGCGGCCGCATCACGTGGTCTACGTGTCGGCAGCGGCCGCTTGGACTACGGTGGGGCGGCGCGATCCCCTGTTAAACGCTGTCGCATAGTACGCACAGTCCGCGACCTCGTCCATGCCCGCCGGTGCCGCCGCACCGCCGCTCCAGTCCGTGGACTTCCTTTGTCTCAGCATCCGCATGCCTCTCGTTTCCGATCCCGTGTGTTTGGTGTACAGGTAAAGTGCGTTTCTATATGCGACATGCGTATGGCAACGTCACGGTGCGTTGTATGCTTCCGCTAAAAACATTCGGGCTGTTTCTGGGTGAGTACGTTCTCATGACACAAATAGAGCTTTGAAATGCGCTGAATCACGGCTGAATTCGCAGATAGTGCCTTTGATGCGCCATGAACGCATGGTGAGAGGCCATATTTCGCACGAACTGCTTCACAGCTGGGGGTGCCGGTAGTATAGTGGACTAACGCGTCTGCGTTAACCACTGCGCGTATGGGAAACCAGGGATACGGGGTTCGATTCCCCTTGCGTTAACCACTGCGCGTCTGGGAAACCAGAGGTACGGGGTTCGATTCCCCTGCAATACAAACCACGGTTAACGAAGGCGCCGGTTCGGAGTTCAATCAGCGTTTTGATTCAGTCACCTGACCTTAAACAGAATGACACAAAGGCAGACATTTTTTTAAGCTGCCGATGTTTTCGATATGTTCCGAAGTTGGTATGCTCTATGTTTTAAGCTCGGGTTTGTCTGTTGGTGCTCACTTTTTAGATGTCTTCTCGAACTTGAGTGACACCTGTCTCAATCAACCCGTCAGGCTCATGAACTCATGTGTTCAGGGACTTATGGACTCGGTAACTCAGGGACTCGTGGATTCAAGGACTCAGTGCCGCAGGTGCGATGAGCTCTCAGTTTACCAAGAGTCTGAGCCGCCGTAGTCAAGGCACAGAGTTCATATTCAGATCCGTGAAAACTGACGGAGAGGGAGAGCCATCAGCTTCACTGAAGGACTTGCAGAAGAGTGCCCGACGCTGTTTTGTAGATCAGTCATCGGGTGGACTGGCCAGCTGGGGGTTGGCGAATACATCATGGTCAGAGGCTTGTCCAGTGTTAGCGGACAGCAATGACAACCTTTTGTCGTATGGCTGCCACCAAAATGAGGTGCCGTGCGGGAGGAGCTAACTTTATTGGTGACTGTGACGGCATGATGAGATCATAAATGCGGAGTTCCGACATCCCCCAACCCCCGTCGAACTTGGGCTCAGTTTCCCCCTCTACCCCCAATTAATGACGCTTTGCAGCTATCCCAGCTCTTTGGACTAGCACTAAACACACGTATATAGCCTACGTTTGCATCAAGCAAAGAGGCGTTAGCCTTCACGGTGTTGTCAAGGACTAAAAAATAGTTTAAGGTTCATTCTGCCTATGTGTTTACAAAATGCTTCAGAAACGGTGTCAGCAGAAACCGAATAATAATCTAGAGTACTGTCCCGGCCAGCGTTGGTGGCACTGTACGCGCGACATTTCAGCCGGTTACATCTTCAGCCGCCATAACGACTCATTGCTACTGAGAAAGATCTGGGGGGGGGGGGGGGGGGGCGTCGTTACGTGCCAAGCCTCCTGATGTCACTCCTATGGCCAACTAATACCGGAAAACGGTCGGAAAAGAAACCAGTCAAAACGTTTCGGCGATAACATCACTCATTTCATGGGCATTTTGTCTGTTGTTCTGGAGCAATGTAGACTGGCTCCTGTGTCCACTGCTCCGGGCCGCCTGTACAGAGGTCAACCGACTCGCCGTGCCACTCATGGATGCTTGCTCTGGCCAGCATCCGCGGGGAACAAACAAACAATGCGAAATATATTTTTCGCGAAGTGCGGCAGTTAAGGATACGTACACAACGCAGGTCAGTACCATAGGAACCTTCGTACTCACAGTTTCTGGAATTCGAAAATTTTCTGAAGTGCTGTCTGGAAACTGGATGCACGGGAGCAAAAATAGTTGGGTTTTTGTAACGCTGTTATTGAAAAAAGATTCTGAAGGTTGAGCGAGTTGTTGTTAGGGCACATGAGAACACATTACTTTCTGAAAGATAGGATCAACAGCTTGTGTAATAAAGGGAATCGGTAAAAGAGGCATCGATGTTAGTGTCTTCAGGAGAGCCTGTAATGCTTATAACTTACCTGGTTACGATTCCTCACCACCTACTATCCGACCAAACTGCCGTCGCATAGGCGAGTGACAGCCAAGCTTAGCGGGCAGAAATAGTAAATGTGATTTGTTGATGTCACGAAAGCCCGCAATATACATCACTTACCCACGATCATTTTCTTTCTTGTCATACGATTCCAGTAAGGGAATGCAGCTACGGGAGTAGTGACCGGGGTTATTGGTCGTTGGTAGTTGCTAATTGACGTAAAAAAAACTTGAAGTTTTTGAGCAGTCCTGATTGTTTGGACACTGTCTGACAGAGATATGGTCCATCTTTGGACTTTGGACTGGATTTTGAACAAGAACTTCCGGAAAACGGCACTTCTGGTTAGTACCGGACAGAATGCAACGGCCTGTGTTTCTGCAGCGTACGGCAATGACACTGACAGTTTATATTAAACCATAACCTTCCGTCGACCTCGTCGAACGTTCAGCGATAAACCTTAAGCCGCGCCTGCGGCAACACTCATTTGCGTTGTAAACGCGGCTAGCACCACTTTGCCGTGAGCGCGGCTGCAGATAACGGACCCAGGACCCATCTTCAGCGCCCCGTCCGGATGAACGCCTCTGATTCACACTCGGCAAAACACGCTGGCCTGCCGACAAACGCCGCGTCATGACTGACCTTGGTTGGCCGGCAGCAGTGGCAGGGTCGCGGCGGCATCACGGCATTTCCTGCCGCCGGCACCCCGCCCGCACGCTGTCCCACTGACCCCGATCCGACAAACCACTGCCGCCGACACCTGGCCGCGCAGGTGCGAAATCAGCGCAAAGCCGGGCGCGCCGTACCCAGAACGCCGCAAGATGCCTGTTGCGCAAACGATACCGGAAGAATGAACGCGTGGGAAGTAAGGAAGCGATTCGATTCGTCGGAAGAGCTGTAAGGTGTGTCACACATTGGTTGGCGTTCTGGGAATATGTCGAAACGGCATGTTTTTATCCCGAAGACAAGCCGTATAAAAGATGACCTTGCTGTTGATCTAGGCATTGTGTTTTAAGCAATTGCACCAGATCACCAGAAAAGAGGCACAAATAAATCTAGTAAAAGGAAATGCACTGAAAAATAAAATGGCAATAAGAAAAAGGAAATGTTATGCAACAGGTAACGGGGTACATTAAGCCAGCCAGGGGGAGCATAGGGGATGCAACATCGCTAAGAGTCAATACAAAAGATGTCCAAAGAAAAGTTGTCGAGATGGGAAGAAGTTTATTACAAGCAATGTCAAAGTGGGCGAAGTGCAAAACAGTATAGAAGCCGTGGACGTCTTCGATAGCAACAGAATAATGTTCACGTATATGACGGGTTTGTCGGGCCTTCCCTCAGAGGCCTGCCACGAGTTGCATTTGTCTTACCCCACTGACCGACTGCTCCAAGGTTTCGGATAGTTCACCATGTAGAACAGGTTGCGAGCAGCAGATGGGTTCTTGCGACGTGGGTGAACGAGGTGGCGTTAGGTATTTTAGCAGTCCTGTAGATTGTACCAAAACCTGAGAGAATGATATCAGTCGCCTGTGAGAACCCACTGCAAACCAGTTTTATCAATCGACTGAAACATGGGAGTTGTATAAGGTGTCAGTTAAAGTGGTTGCAATGAGGCGTTCGTGAACAGCTTCACACATGCCATTGCTCCAAAATTGGTTCGAATTTGCCTGGCAAAGTTCGCTTATTTCAATCTTCGAAATCGATTTATCTCGAGTGGTTTTCGCTTCAGGTGACTTTGCCAAAGTATTACAGAATCCTTTACTTTTTCGATGCGTATTGGTCAAAGTGACTAAGTTATATGTATGTGCAACTTTTATCGTCAGTTTTCGCTTTAAATCATAGTGTGGCTCACTCGATGTGTAGACTCAAAAGGCACCAAAATAGCCACTTTCAGATCAATTTCAAGCCCCTATATGGGTCAGATAATAATGACGTTTCCAAGCATTTGTAGACAGCACATTCACCTAGGCCGTGTACATGGTTTAACGTCTTCACCTTTGTCTGGTTACCGAAGTCTGACAACAGTTGCTGAGAACGGTCCTAAAAACAGGTCTGCCATTACAGTTGTGTTGTGTTGTGTGTTGGTGTTGTGTGTTGGCATCGCTGAAGCCCTAGGTTGCCAACAAGATGACCCGGTTTGAACCGGTTTTTAGTTTTGTTCTGTGATTTATAACCTAATATTTCATGCTTCCCAAAACAAGATCTACCGAAACACTTACTGTTGCCTGGTCTACACAGCTGCACAAGCCCACTAGTTTACTTAAGTGGGGAGACGCTGTTTTCTCCTCGTCCGGTGGAGGATGCGTCAGCTGACCTGCGAAATATGCCCTCTTTGGACAACTGTTTTGTGTGCATTCTGTCCGTTGCACCGCTTGAACTGTTACCAGCTGCTTATATTTGTTTGTCGCTTGCCACTGTTTCAATTTGAAAGTTACCTTTGTTTCCTGTTTATTTATTGTTGATTGCTTGATCTGTCTTTAGCTTCTTGTGTTTTTGATACCATTGCTGTTGAATTGCATCTCACCTAACTTTTTCCTTTTTCCTTTAACAGTTGTTGGTCCGTCGTAGATAAGTTTCATTTTTTATCTTCAGGCATATGTCATTGGCGGGCACAAAACACCGTAACCTGGATTTGTCGCCTCACGGCGGAGTCAGAAATGCTATGCCCTATACGACGGCAGTGCCTCTGC